ACAAGCTGAAATAAGTGAACCGTCTTAGTTCAAACAAAACGAGACTATGGTTATTCTTTTAAAAACAATACATTCGACGTTACCCCCAAAGAAAAAGGTTCAAAATACCCGAGCAGAAATATAAGTGTCTGTATGTTTGCTAATAAACCCGTCGGACATTTCGACCCGTGGGCCCTAATTTATCATTGTTAGAGCGCGTCTCAAACGAAAGCAATTTCCGTTTAGATTTCTTTTTTTCAATACGTCTTTTCTGGAGACCGCAGATTAGAGCTTATTTGACACCGTCCAATTAGGATTTCACTATGAGAACTTTTGTAACGGTTTACCCACGTAACTCGGGAATATTAAGGGTATTCGTAATAAACTTCTTTTCTAATAGTTATGAAACGTGACACTCCTGTGTTTCTTTTACTCAATCTGTGTCTGAATAAAGGGAATGAAATAAAAAAATTCAAATATTGATACACAAATAAAATTACAATTCTTTACTAAAGATATACTTTAAATTCTCCCGAATTTAGATTGAAAAAACAAATAGTTATTGTAGGACAAGACATAAATAGAGACAAATATTTATCTTAAATAAGAAATTACTTGTATAAACATTGTATTTTTATAAAATTTGTAACAACAGATACAAAAAAAATGGTTATAAATGGATAGTTGAAAATGTGCATTAAATTTTGTTCAATGCTACGCACTAAAAAATAATTTAAACCAATTATTAATCAAAATTAAACAAAATTTCAAATCCACATATTTATTAAAATTATTGAAAATCCAAAATACATAATCCATAATTTACAATCAAAAAATAAAGTTCACCGACAAAAAAGTCTACCGTGGAAATAACATAATTCTTTTCAAAGACAAACTTTTAAAAAAATTGTACCCAATTATATTTTGGGAAAAAAATCTAATTATTTGGTTCAATAAAGACAGAAAAAAAGGATACACGCACGAGGAAAACTAAGCATTGTGTGTCTTTAATATTTACCAACATATAAACTCAGTAACCTTTTCACTCGACTGGACCGGTTTCTTAATTTATATCGGGCAATAGTTTCTGAACACTTTTCTAGTTTTGTTAGTCGAGAGAGAAAGTACTATTCATAGTCTTATTTATAACCCTACACATAAAGAGCCAACTGGATTAATTAAACCTGGGTCTAAAAGTACAAGATCAATTCCTAAAATCTGATTCTCAAGAAGCTTTTGCACGAGTAAAGAATGCCAATATCGGCTTGAAGAGAAGTGACAAATGATTTTATTTCTGTACATGTTTACGCTAGCACAACCATAAAAAAGATACATATTACTGCAAGCGTAAAACGAACGAAACACTATTTCGAGCATCTTGTTCTCCTTATCGTGGTCGGCAAGTATAGTTAGTTGGAGCGAAACGTATTTGAAAATTGAATCGTTTTACACTATCCAGGGTCTCAGATGCACAAGCGTAATTCGGAGCATCACATTCACTGGAATGTACCTAAGTGTAACTATATACAACCCTTGAGCAAACCCGTCATAAACTAGTTCCTCATAAGATCACTTATGTCTAACTAATATTATTTAAAATATGAATTTGAATAAATACAACTATATACATTTTACATGTACCTACATTAAAAAATAAAATATATATTACTCTGGCTAAATTTAGATTTGAAGTACCAACATACGATTTATGTAGAAATGAGTTCATAGAATTCACTTTATAGAAGGTATTTTTGAAAGGGTTTAGTACGGAAGAGTGTTTGTAATCAATAAGTAACTTTTATAACAAGGGCCTGAGTAGTAGATATGCTTAATAAATCGAAATACGTTAAGACAGTATTAATTTCAACTTGTTGAACACCTTGTTATATCGTTTCATAAAATTCTTGTTTCCATTTTGATGCTACTATGGCTCTCACATTTGAAAAACGTGTATTGGACATTGTTTTTCAGAAAGATTGCAATTTTTTCGACGTGAGCTATCTTTTGTCTTGCATTTTCTTATATTTCTGATACTCCGATATAAAACAAATTATATGTCTATAGTAGCAAAATCACCGCTGTAGACTTAAAGTATTCCAACATTATTTAGGTTACACGGAACACAGCAAGTTAGTAGAGATTTCCACAGAATGGTTTCATACATTAGTTATAAGAGGAACTTCTAAGCGCCCAACTAGCTGTAACAACAGCTTGTGAATATTGAAAGAAGTCACAGAGTATTAATGCACTATTTTATCTATTACCTTTATTGACTAACTTTATAAACAAGACTAATATATAATATAATGAATGATTGTGAATCTATTTTACTTAAACTTTCCTTGAGATATTATCGCCAATTGTGTGCCTAGGTTTGAATTTTTTTTTTTTAATGAATAGGTTTTCTTTATATCAATAGTAATTATTTTGTTAAGAATAAAGTAGTATATACATCAATGGCGAATACATCACTCACCTTTGATTTACTAATGATATAGTAATCGTGATGTACCTAAACAGATGTGATAGTAATAATGTCAGTAGTATATTATGTAAATAATGGACTGAAAAATATTTCGAAGAACCGTCAACCGATGGGGGAAAAAGGTTCTTTTGAGGTGACTCTGTACGGGCAAACGCAGTATAGGATGACTACATAGATGGAGTGACGATCCCAAATGCATTGTGGGGAATCAGTGAATGCAGATAGCTCAGGAACGTCCCTTGGATCAATCTATGGAGGAGGCCTATATTCAGCAGTGGACAGATAATAGCTGATATCATGATAATGATGAAAGTAGTCTGACAAAATTATTTTGTTCCATTTATAGCACTAAAACTACTATTTTGAACTACGTATATATATATATATATATATATATATATATATATATATATATATATATATATATATATATATATATATATATATATATATATATATATATATATCGGCGCAAGCGTTATTATCTGTAGCTGTGAACGAGGAAACATTAACTTGGTGTTACTTTACAATATTTTCATAAACGCAAATTATTTTCTATTAAATCATAAGGTTAATTCGCGATAAACATAAATTAAACGATTGTATTTCCTTTTGCTGCAAACAGAAATTAAAACTCTCATTCGATTATTATTTCTATTTATATGAATTAAATAAGTGATTGTATTTCCCTATGTTACAAACGAAAATTGGGATTCTCATTTGACTATTAAATGAATTAAATTTATATATATATATATATATATATATATATATATATATATATATATATATATATATATATAATAAACAATTTTAATATAACTGTTATTTTTTGAACACATTATTAAATTAACTATTGCACAATGTTAAGGTTCAACATGATTATAAGTAAGTTAATTTATAGTACTTAGTTATTATTTGAAAATTGTAATAAAAGAAATAGAATAAATAAATAAAGTTGTGATACTGTGAGTGAGTCCACGAGCGTGCATTTGATTTAACGGAAAAAGCATTCGTGCACTCGAACATTTATAAGATAGTTTATAAGAAGAACAAGTTATAAGAGTATAAAAACAGAATATTCAGTCCGATAGAGACCGAGACACTGTACAGTACTGTTGCCTGAGGGCTATAAATATAAGTGTAATTGGAAAGTAAAGAAATAAAATAGTTCAAAGAAGAAAAGTATAATTTGTTATAATTACAAATAAATAAAGGATGAACCAAGATAAAACCAAGTAATTTCGGTAATACTAACATCACTATGCCAAAAAATAGGCGTACTACCTTTCCATATATATATATATATATATATATATATATATATATATATATATATATATATATATATAAAAATATAAAAAAAAGGGTTTTGTGTGATTCAATTGCGTTTACTTTGTCTAACCTTGTCGTCTAATGATGCAAACTACATGATAAATCATACACTTTCAAACTGCATAGAGAAATAATAACGCATGTATCAGGCATAAACATTGTTTATGACCGATTTTTAACTAACTTCAAATAAGGAGGAGGTTTTCGAAGGCAATTCCGTTGTATTTTTTTATATTTTTTACCTTATAACGCCGTCATTTATAAATTGATTTGAAAAATTCTTTTTTTTTTTATCTAAAAGGATATATTTTCAGTTAGTTCCAATAGAAGTTTTATCAAAATCGGTATAGTAGTTTAATTTTTAAATCTACATAAGTGGTTTTGCCATGATTGCAATCAGTGCTTTTTTGGTACAAAATATTATGTAATATAATTACAAGGAAATTTCAGTGCTTGATCTAGAATCTACCTAGTAATTAATTCTAGTTTTATTTTAACTGTATTAACAATTGCATTGGAACAGATAAAACTGGAGTTGATAAATCGTTCATCAAAGGAATCTGTATAGATTAATCGTGACGTGTGTAAGCTTCGTAAACATCGAGCTGAGAAAGTTATTCTGTTTGATACGGCCTGTAGAATGTCTTGATCCATAAACTCATGTCTAGGTTAAATTATACTTAAAGTTACCATTGAGAGAAATCGTGACGTCTCTCGATGGTCAGTTAATCTTTTGATTATAACATTGCAATATATTGAATAAAATAGTTATAAATTATAACTATAATCAGACAGACTTTGTGCTATCTGAGAGAGCAATATACTCATATACAGGGGATGAATGTGAGTATATTGCTAGTACAGCTAAAGACGTAAGGAAAAAGTCTTATGGTACTTGGTTCCTTTCTCTGCTCCACAGAAGCTTTAATAATTATATCGCGTATAATATATAATAGGCCGTAAAAATAGATATATGAGTATATAGTTTTGTATAGTGGATGAATTGTTTTTCAACCGACTTAAAAAAGAAGAAGATTCTCAATTTGATTGTTTTTTTTTATATTTGTTACCTCATAGTTCCGTCAGATATAAACCGATTTGGATTTTTTTTAAGGATATGCAGATTGGTCTTACAGGAATTTTACCAAAATAGATTCAGTTGTTTTTAAATCAAAATAACTGTTTTGTTTTTTTATTTCAGTGACTAAGTTCATACGGATCGGCATAGCAGATAAGAATGACAACCCGCCGTACTTCGACAAGGAGCTGTACGAGGCTGAAGTCGACGAAAATGAAGACATTCAGCACACGGTCCTCACGGTCACCGCCAAAGACCACGACGAATGTAAGTACATAGCTTTTAAGTAACTCTTATCTACGTATAGATAGCATGGAAATTTTTCTCAAAAAGGCATAAAAATAAAAAAAAATGCGTACATAACATAACATAACGTTTCTCAATTTCAAATGAAAGTATTTATTACTATTTCATTTTAAAATTATAGTATATAAACGGATATTTAGAGAAATAAATTAGGTTATAGAGATGTCAAAATTATTTCATTCTGGATTTGGCCAATACGAAGAAAAATCAAGATCATCATTATCAACCTACTGCAATCCTCTGCAGGACATAAACCTCTCCCAAAGTGTGTTATGGATCATACAAAGTGTATGATCCCGTGCTTTATGCTTCTAGTTGTTCCCAACTTTACCACATTATGCCTGCTCAAACACGATGTCCACTCCAGAAAACCTTTACCATTTCAGTATACTAATGATTATTATTGGACGTATCAACAACACTAGTTCTTTGACATATATATTATTTTGAATCCGATCTCTCAAAGAATAGAAAGAAAACGAAAAAAACATGTCAATTTAAAATACTGTCTACAAATAAAATTGATTCATGAGACAGCGGTAGGTTCGTCCCTGTCAATTTGGCTTAGAATTTTCTGAACAAAATATGAGCAAGTCAAATATTACGTTCAATACATCATCATCAATAGACTACACCATTTAATATTGCAGTCATAAGGAAATTTATTCTAATCTACTGAATTGGAAAAAGAAACATACGATAATATAATTTTAATGGGTATGACAGATACAATCTGAAAGTGAATCGATATATAAGGGAAAGTTCTAGATTAATCTAGGATGATTAGAGAGATTGTGGCAATCTGATGGGAGAGGCGAGTCTCCGAAAACGGCGTGAAATGAGTGAGGTATAAAAGCAGATAAAGCAAGAGATTAGGTAAGGATAACAAAAACATACACTTTCTAGCATTCGGTTCTTTCTGCATACCCTGCAAGGTTGTTATGAAAATAGGTATATGTGACAGCTTAAAATGCGGATAAGAATCGGTAGTATAACTTTATATAAACTGACTCGATTTTTTTATTTAGAGACGTCAACGTAAATCTTGACTCAGATAACACGATAACCTTATCTTTCTAGCGTACGAGTATATAATCTAGAAGAGATAACATTAATGTCTAGTTGCATTTATCCGCTGGGGTAACTTTTGTCCTCCAGAGATTCGACTTACATTTTTAGATCTGGATTTTCTGGTATTTTCTTCACTGAAAATTCTAATTATTATATTAATTGTTAAATATTATAATAATTGAAATTTTCTGAAATAAGTGTGTAATAAAATAAATGGCAAAGTTATAGTTATTTCCTTCGCTTTGGGTTTATTATGATAGTGGAAACGGTAACTGAGTCAAAACATGTGAATTTATTTGTACATTATCTTATACTCGATCTTATAGATATTGTAGGATGTTTGTGTAACCATTTATTTTCAGATATGGCTTTATGACAATCTAACGGTCCAGAGTCGTGTTTTTATAAGTTAATTGATATTCTAGTTTAGTAATTTAGTGAGATAGATTAGAGAATTAACTATCAGAACATTCAAAAATATAAAAAAATACTCAATTGTTTTTAAACATTAATATATAATACCGAAACTGACATACTTTGAATATGGAATAAACGCTCTTAAATTCCTTAAGGAAGTCGAGTAAAACTGAATATGATTATCAACTCTGTCAATCTATGTAATATTGTAGTTTGTAAATGTTGTACATTTGGGAATACTGAATTTTGCTAGTTCCACTGGTATGTAACTGTATTGATTACTTCATCTAACGCAGTGTTTTTCAAAGTGTGGATCGCGACCCCTTGGGCCCCGAGCCATTACAAAAAGGTAGCGGAAGGTCGCGAAGCAGTGAAAAATCAACAGTTCCATAAATACATCAAACAACCAATATCACATAATGAAGTATCTATAACAGACATAGATTACATGTCTGTTTTAGATACTTTATTATGTATTATTTATTTTATTTTATCGATATCTAACTGTGAATATAAATACAACTCTACGAATTTCATAATTTTACTATAATAAAATTCATACACCTTCGAAACCGTGGAGGGTAGGGGGTCGCAAGATATTTTTACATACTAAGGGGGTCACAAGATATTTTTACATAATAAGGCGCTCCGTCATGAAAAAGATTAAAAAACCCTGATCTAACGTACAAAACTCAGAAGTAGATACACAAATATTTCTTTAAACTGTTTAAAGTTATCATCTTGATATAGATTTTACAAGGACATTTAGAAACCTTGAAAACTGGACTCAAACAGTGATAAACTAAGGAAAACAACTTGAATTATAGCCACTAACGGTTGTTCCTTTAAGTTGTTGTCTAAACGGTAATTAATAACTCAGTCTAGCTTCTTTGAAATGATACGTTGAAAATATTTATTTATTTAGGATCACCAATTGTTACATTTATACATTTATGTTTACAATATAACATTTAGTTTGTAGCCTGAATGTACATTTACTTATACTCGTAAGTGAACGCAGCATGCAATAATAAAAGAGGTTAAAATATATTTTTAAAAATTTAAGATTTGGAATATAGAAAAACCCTAAGAGTTATATGCAAATGAAATCTTAGTAAGTATGGCAATGTGCAAAACAAAATAAAACTTATAATTTTTTTATCAAATGTTTCCTAATTTAATATAACTTTTCAACGACTTCAAAAAGGAAGAGAGTCTAAATTCGTAAGTGTTTTTGTGCGTAAATTACGTGATATTTTTGCCAATTACGAACTACTTTTAACAATTCTTTTTCTAGCAATAGAATTAAATTCGTATTAGGTACTTATTAATTTTGACATAATTGAAGTCTTAGTTAGCCGTACATATTCTTTAGTAATTTGATTGTTACCAGTTACCGCGTTGACTGTGAATTAAATTTATTTTTTACTATGAATTTTACAGACCGAGTACAGAAACATCATTGTAGTATATATAATACAACAATTAAGAACAGAGAGTTGTTGGTTTACATGCAAAATTAGCGAGCTGGTAGCAAGTGATAAAGTAAGCTGATTAATTTTAGCTTATTTGTATGTACACCGTTTTATGACTGTTTAGGTTGGATGGTTTTGTGTAGTATTTATTTTAGGCTTATCTCGTTTGGGGCGTATAAATACACCCATTCAAGAGAATATTGCGTGTTTATATTGGCGAAATTGATTTAGGATTTGTTTTCAATATAATATTGAAAACAGTGTAGATTGGAAATAATTTTGCCTTTGTTTAAATTTTTTGTCTCTTTAACATTAAACCAGAGTTATCTACTATTAAGGATAGTAGCGAAGGGTTTGGTATTTAATTTTCTCTAACGACCTCCTTTTGATGACAAAAACCTCAAGGTATTTACATTAGAATAAAATGTATCATAGTTTCGATCCAGTTTAACAAGACATCGTAAAAAGAGAATTCGGAAATTATTCTGATATACCCTGCACCGTCTCCACCATCTACGTGTGGTGACGAAATTAACTATACAATGTCACAACTCCTTTTTATATCTGGAATTTGTTGAAAGTGACTAAGAGAACTCAATATAATATACTAATGCAATAAAATTAAAACCTAATCCAAACCACCTACCGTGCATGATAATTGTAGACTAATATCCTCTTCTTATAAGAAGAAATCCATGCTTATAAGTGAGATATTAAATAGTCGTCATGGTAACTATGGCACAATACACTAATATAAGATAAATAAATTGGAATAAAATCTCATACTTACGAAGCCGCCTTGCCAGTGAAGAAATAATAATACTGCATGCCTATATAAGGTTATAGATTACGTTTACATCCCACTTAATAGGAGGATATTAAGTGGGACGTAATGGGTTGTTATGTTGATCATTATTATTATTGATATACCCTCGCATAATCCATAATTATCATAGGCTATGCTTCGCATAGACATTCGAATGATACGATAATTTTATCATCGTCACGATCTAGATAGTAGCATGACAATAATTGGAAGAAAATTATTATGCAAAACTTAGCGTTCTGAGCAATGAGTGGATTTTGTTTTACTGGATATTATACTTGAAAAGTCTGTCAAATATTAAGATATAAGAAAATTCTTTCAAATATTAAGATATAATTTCGTAATCCTAACCAATCTTAATTAATATTAAAAATATAAAGTGTGTTTATTTTTTACCTCTTGGCACTTTAATGTATCAACCAATCGCCATGAAATCCCCCATATATATAATATTTTATATAGAATAGGATATAAGTTACTTTTTACCCCGGCCAATCAATATGTGACGATCACGCATACAAAGTCTCGTGTAAAAAATAGGAATATTATAAATGCGAAAGTGAGTTTGTTTGTTATCTCTTAAAGCATTCACAGCTCAACCAAATGCCATTGAATTTGTTCACGTAGAATATAAATAAAAAAACATTGCCCACTTTTTATCTTAATCACACAAATGAGATTGCAGGCACAGCTAGTGACAAATAATAGACAAAAACCATTATTATATAGTAATTTATAAGTGTAGTCACAGATCAGGTTCTATTTCTATATAGTCATCCAATAAACCTAAGTAACAAACCTATAACACTAATAAAGGTCACTAATGGATCAACTGCTTTTGAAATTTCACTAACAAAGCAACGTATAGATAGATAGGTTCAGTCTAAAACTAGTCAAATAGATTAAACAGTAATCTGTGCAAACGTCAAAACAACATTTTACATCAAACACTATACACCTCATACTCGTAAGTACTTGAAAATATTGAGGGCTCTACTGCGGAGAGGATTGGTGATATCGACTAAAGTTCCGCATGATTAATTCACAAGGAAAGACGTCTCGATATACAGAGATATTCCATTCCCACAACGCCACATATGATTAAGTCGGTTTATAGCCCAGTAGAGGGTTTTGAAATATTTTAAAGTTCATATGAAACCAGATTATTTCCA